GATCCGCCAGCCTGCCCAGGCATCCCATGTGCAACCCGACCCGGGGTGGCCGGGCGGGGCAGCGTGGCTCCTGTCACCCCAGCTTCCTCATCACAGCTCCCTTGGGGGCCTAAGCCTTTAGTCAGACATCCCCCGAGGGCTCCCTGGATGCCAGAAGGATGTCTGACTGCAAGCTTAGGCCTGATCTCCCGGGGAGTGGGCCTAAGTCGACAGGTGGACATCCCCCAAGGGGTCCTGGACTGCAAATGGGTGCAGGCCGGGCTGAGGTACAACCCCCCACCCCCGAGTGCACAAATTTTTGTGCACCGGGCCTCTAGTGAAAGTACAAGCAGAAAAATTATCAAAGAAAAAAACATCTTGGGGATTAGCTCCCCTGGAGAATTATCTTTTTTTTTTTTTTTTAATACATTTTTTTTTTTATTTCACTGAGGAAGGGAGAGGGAGAGAAACATCAATGAGAGTGAATCATGGATCAGCTGTCTCCTGCACGCCCCACACTGGGGATCGAGCCCACAACCTGGGCATATGCCCAGACTGGGAATCAAACCATGACCTCAACCACTGAGCCACGCCAGCCAGGTGAGAATCATCATCTTTAAAAACTGTAACTAAGCCAAGCTGGTGTGGCTCAGGAGGTCATGGTTCGATTCCTGGTCAGGGCACATGCCCAGGTTGTGGGCTCGATTCCTGGTGGGGGGCATGCAGGAGGCAGCTAATCCATGATTCTCTCTCATCATTGATGTTTCTCTCTCTCTCTTCCTCTTCCTTTCTTCTCTGAAATCAATAAAAATACATTTTAAAAACTGTACCTAATCTAATGATAGGAGACCTGATGGCTATGAATCCAGTTTTTATTTTCCATAATTTTTGTTAGAAATCTTTAATAACTTTTGGATATGATAAAAAAAAAAGTTTAATGATACAAAAAGTGAATACTCCCTTTGATTTTTAAAAATAAAAGTTATTAGATATTTCCTATTATTATAACTTGTGACAAGGTCACCATACTATATACATACCATGCCACTTCCCCTTGTAGACTGTCCCAAATGACCCGGAACCAATTCTCTGTCCTACTGTGATCTGCCCATCAGGAATCTCCCAATCGTCACTTGAATCCCGTCTACCAAGTGTTTTCTTGATAAAAATAGAGCAAAAGTCAATCCAAAGCAAACAAAAAAAAGGGAAAACCTTGTTTCACACTAAGTACATTCTCCCCTGTGTCTGAGTGTGAAAGGGACATTAAACACACACACATACACACACACACACACACACACACACACTCTGGAAGAATTATAGAAGTATGATTCTTATAATACAGAACTTAAATTGAAGAACTAAGTCAGTTCTTCAAGGCTACTAACAGGCAATATAAGTATCTGTGACTAGTTTTGGCTCCAAAGGCCAAATTTTAAATTAATATAGTATGATTACTGTTGATAATTTACCTCCTTACTTTCTTCTAGTCAGTGCTAAATTTCCTCAGATATCTTATCTGATCCAGTCTCTTAAAAAACTGTCAATATATACAATCACTTTGGTAGGGTAAAGAATCCACCTATCCAACATATACTATTACTACACTAATGCTAATATTAAATTGTTAGTTTTTAATATGTATTTATTGTGCAGCAGAAAGTTATTTTTTCAAATAGGAAAGAATATCATTTGGTAAATATTTGAATTTCAGATAAGCCCTTTAACAGCGGTCGCCACTGGTGGTCCATGAGGTCCAAAAGGTTGGCGACCGCTGCTTTAGAACATATATGCATAATAATGCTTCCTAAAATACTAGGCTTACCCATTTTCCTTATTTTAAAAAGAGAACACTACAGTTGACCCTCAAATATGGGGAGCTTAAGGGTGCTGACTCCCAGAGCAGTGGAAAATTGGTGTATAGTGCTCCCTTTGGCAGCACATATACTAAAAAACTGGAACCATACAGAGAAGATTAGAATGCACAAGGATGACATGCAAATTCGTGAAGCGTTCCATATTAAAAAAAGAAAAGAAAATTGGTGTATAACTTTTGATTTCTCTTAAAACTTCACTATAATGGTCTCTTGGTATCTGTTGGGGATTGGTTCCAGGACCAATACTGCTTTCAATCCTTGGTCCAGTGAATCACAGATGCAAAACCTGAGAATATGGAGGGCCAACTGTCTATTTACTGAAAAAAACACACACCAGCATGTAAGTAGATCCATGCAATACAAATTCTTGTTATTCAATGGTCAACTGTATTCTTACTCTTTTGAAACTACCTTTAACTTAATTGCATTAGAGTTGAGAGCATAAATCTGTGTTGTGCAAATGTGCTTTAAGCAAACAATTATCAGCTCTTAATTTTATTTGATTATGGGAATTTTGTGTCACATATGGACATATCATTATATCTAAAGGTGACATTAGATTTGGCTCTGACTTCTATAGAGAACACAGAAAAATAAAGATATCATATACTTTTACCATTCGATTCCTGTCTTCTGAGGATGAAGATGATTTTCTTTCCCGCTGAGGTCCTGGAGATTTCTGTAATGCTTTCACATTAGTGAGTGAGCCAGGTAATGAGGCAGGGGGGGTGGCAGATAAACCTGTAGTTGACCCTAAGTTAGTGAAAGGAAAAATGTATCCATTAAAGGAAGATCAAGTATGTTAATTTATTTATTGGGGGCAGAGGGTGTGGGGAGATTTAGACTTATTTAAAAAATACAGTGCATGTTCAAGTATAGAACTTTTAGAAAGGATAGGCCAAAAAGGGGCCTCATTTGGTAATTAGTACTATAATTTCTTTTAGTTTTCTGGCCAATTTAATAACCCTTGAAACATCTGATTACAGATATACACTTTGCTTATTGGTGCATTTTCTAAGAAGAATCTCTCTAAAATAAGAGATAAATACTAAACAATATTCCCAAGGTTCTTTTTCTTTCACTTAAAAAATCAAAAAAGCAAAATCAATTTAACAGCCTATATAAAAAACAACAACTTTATTTTGTTGCTTCAGCAAACAAATATAAATCAATATAAAAAATATAATATAAAAAAAGATGGAAATCCCCAAATGGAAACATATTCTAATAATGGCCACAATGTTGAAAATATTTGGCTTCTTCATATTAGCCACTACATTGAAAAAAAAAAATCCTACACCACATACTAGACTACTTAAGAGTGAGAGACACTGGTCAGTTTCATCAGTTCCTGAAGGCTTAGTCTAGTAAACAGATATGATTTGTTGCCTGTATACAACAAAGCCAGCGGTTTCTCAAGCCTCTCTGAATAATCCCTGACTGCCTTTATAAGTGAGAGCAAAGTAAGTGATATAGCATCTCAGCCAAGTTACTACAAACGGAAATATTCTATCAGTCAACTGAGTCCACGGGGTGTATTCTTTGAAAGTGGACTCAGTTGGCAGGGTTGCATACTTTCTGATGGGTACTTTTCCAAGTGCTGGCTCAGTGGCAATAATTCTAAGTTCATGTACAGTACCTTGTTCAGAGTAGTTCAGGACAATGACTCCTAGTAGGGCCTGAGTACAGTTAAGTAGGACTGAGATATCAAAAAATATTTGCACATACAGAACAAAAAGACTTCAAGAGAATTTTAAAAAAATACTACTATTCTTTGGAAAGGGGCAGTCACTATCTTCCAAACAGGGATACCAATGGCAACATTTAAATCTGTGTAGAAATTTTATCATTATTACATCACAGGTTACCATGTGAAATTTCCATAATCTCATCTGTAAATTTCTAAAAGAAAATGGAATGTCTATTAACTAGAGCACAATCGATTTTCTACCTTCTATTGATAATTTTCAACATCATAAAGCCTTAACTGTTTGCCCAGGCCTCCCAGTTCTGATCTACTTAGTACTGTACAGATATTATTAAATTACGCCACTTGGTCCTGTATGACTTCCAGCCCATTCTATGGATTTTCTGAGAAACAGCTGGACTGAGAGCAAAAATCTGAAACACCACCACTATGTTCAGAATAACTGGCAGACACTAGCAAAAGCCAGTAAATTCTTTAAAACTATTTATAGCAAACTCCTGCCTCAATTTTGACTTTATTTTAAAAAATCAGTTTAACTACTAATTAAAGTTATGGCAAAATAAAATAGGAGATTGAAATTATACTGCTTTTTTCTCAGATTAAGGCATAGCTGAAACTATCAATCCTCAAATTTCCTGAAGTATGCCAAAATATCCCAAATACATTGAAAGTATTTTCAAAGCTCCCTACCTCTGATATAATATAAAATATACATGTCCTACATTTAAAAAAGGACACTGCTGATAATACAGAAAAAATAAAGGCAAAAGTCTATTAAAATCTCATAATAGGGATTTCCATTTCCATTTTTACTTTTTTAGAAACCAAAAAAATTGAAAACAAGTATTAACAGGCATCAAGGTGACCACGTAAATAGATTAAAATAAAAGGAATTCAAGTAGGACACCCCCTCCCATGTTATTTATTGCCACCCACTGAGTTTAAGAAGTTACCAAGACCAAAAAGTAATGCAACAAAAAACATGATGGAAATCTAAGACTTTTCTTGCTTTTAAAATTTATGACAGAAAGCTTGTGGTAGTGAGTATGTGTGACAAGCACATTCAGAGCATTCCAGCCAGGCCAAGCAGAAATTTAGTACTGAAAACTCTCACACTTACAAACACACGCTGTGAAGGTGAGGCACAAACAGTAGCTGTAGTTTATATTTAGTTTGCTTTGGGTGAAAACAAGAAAGAAGAGCCCAACTACCTCTGAACACTGGGCCAGGCTCAAAATCAAACACTATTTCACTGGGGACAGAATGTAGGAGGGGACTGGGAGTCCGGGATTGGTATTTCCGAAGACAGCGCATCAGCTGGTTCAAAGGGGCTGTTAGAAGAGAAAGAGAGGGGCAGGCAAACACAGGAAGACAGACACACAGAAGAAATGAAAGAAGTCATGGGGAATAAATAAGATGAGTCGAAGCCTGCTTCACAAAATAATTCTGGATGTTTAAAACACTGTTTTCAAAATCCCAATGATTTTTTAAAAAATGACTCATAAGAAAGGACAAGAGATGCCACTTCATTTTAGATACTAAGCAGGCAGTTTTTAAGACTAAGTTAACTTTGTGATGCTAAAATGATGGCAACATTTAAATGCTGGATGTATTGGGCAAAATTTTCAAAAGCCACAGCTACTAAGACATATGAAAGTCAAACTGGCAGCAACATTAATTGGAGGGCTCATGGAATAACAAACAGAAAAAACACTTTTGTAACTATATACTATAGTAAATATGAAGTCTAGAGTATTTAATGCAGGGTTATTACTTTGGTAGCTTCACAGGTACACAGAAACACAACAAAAGATGGTTTATACAATGTTCAATATAAAATATCTTTGAGACTGGGCTTAGACATTTTGAAGACAAAGCAGGTCACAGTGAAGAGACCAACTCTAACCAAGGTAAGTAGTATTGCAGGCCTTCCTTATTAGATAGAAGACAGCTGAAAAAGTAAATATGGAGAATCATCTAGAAGAAAACTTTAAGACAGTTTCAAATACCATCTCTTGGAAAAACATTATGTGGGGGTAAATTCTTATTTAAATTATGCAATTTTTAAGAATTTTCTTATGCAATGTTTTCTTATGCCCCCTATTTTTACTGGGTGCTAGAGTGAAAAGTCAGATAAAAATTCTGTAAGAAATCTCAATTTAATTTCTCATTTGCTTATTTTATTTACCGGACAAAAAAGGGGCAACTGGGCTTCTTTATTAGGGATCCATTATGTAAGATGTACATTTCAAACCCTTTTAGAAGACTGAGGGAAATAGTTGACAATATCTATCAAATTGAGAAGTTGTAACAGGCAATCCAAGGGATTCTCCAAGAATGATTTTAAAAAATCATGTTTTAATTGATTCTAAGCTTAATATTTAAATATTGGTGGAGGTTTCCAAAATAAATTTTGCATCTCCAGCTTTGGAGAGGGTTTGGAATCAATAAAGTGGGTAAAATAACTAAGAATCTCTCCTTGACAACCTTTTAAAATCATAGGTAGTACATTTAAGAACCCTTTTAATGTCTTCTTTTTCTCTATTCATGTTATAAATTAGTTAAAATTTTAATAGAGATAAATACTAAAGGAAACAAAAAAAAATTGGGTTTTCTCTACACATTTTTCTCTGTGTCTGTGTTTCATGAAAGAAGCAAATATAAAGGAGACAAGCAGCAAAGCAGTTGCATTTTTCCTTGAGTTTTTAAAAACTGAAATCACCACTTACCTCCATCACTACGAAACCCTTGGTCTCTAATCAAGTCCTACAAATAAATAGTAATGTATATTTTATTCAAAGCATGTGGTAAGAAAGTAATAACAACACTGAATTTTCTACTAAGCATAAACAGAAAGGTTAATTTAAAATAACTCTCATAATTACTTCACAAAACAGAAAAAATATGAAATTAGCTAGTGAAAATGATAAAATCAAAATTTGAAGCAACCTAATCCTATACTGACGGGATTATTAGTCCTGATTAAATGTTGAAATCCATTTCAGGCCATTCAAAACCAATGGCTGCATCAATTCTTATAAAAATTCTACTGGCACATATTAAGAGCCATAAAATGTTCATACCCTTTGATCCTGTAATTCCACTTCTGGGAATTTTTCCTAAGGAAATAATTCAGAAGAAAAAAATGATATGCACAAAGATGTTTAGTGCAGCATTATTCACCATACTAAAAAATCAGAAATAATTATTTCCCTCTTCTAGGCTGATTGACATATTGGCTAAGTAAATTATGGTGTATAAATTTAATGAGTATTATGCAGCTACTAAAATAATTATAAAGATTGAATCATGAAATGTTTACAATATAATAAAAAACAGAATAAAAAATGTACCCTGATTACAGTAATAAAAATATGATGTGTAAAGACACACTAGACGGACAAAAACAAAAATGACTCAAACAAGAGTTTTGTTAAAATCTGTCATTAAGATGTAGCTTTTTTACAACAGACAATGTTGGGGGTGAGGGGAAGAGTCTTCTGCCAACACAATGCAATTTGGATATTAATAAGCAGAACTTAGATTAATGTGTTTGCCCAATATAACTTAAACGTGAGGAATTGAATGGTCCCAAATGTCTCTAAATAGGCTTAGAGGCTCTTTGCAAACAGGCAGCTTTTTGTTTATGGGCAAAAACAAAGAGTAAATTCTTTACGAAAGTATTTCTATCATGTTCAATGTATCCTATAAAGCCTTCAACATTTTCTATAGAATTATCAACAAATACTCATAGATCTGCAAACAAGGTGCTAGGTGTTGTGTGGCTACCAATAAATATAAAATCCTGGGGGGGTCTCACTAACTTTCTATGTAAAGGTACTTTCATACTTTTGCATATACTATTTCCTTAACAAATGCCCTTTCTTCCTAAAACCCCAACTAGTATATTTAATGAACTCCTACTCTTTCATCTTTTACAACCTGGCTTAAATGTTGTTCATATCTGCCAAATATTCCTAGATCCAACCAGGTAGAGTTTATTACCCTCTTCAATAAACTATCGTTATATATTTTTTTGTGATTATTTATTTTTACATGATTCATACATTAGATTATGACTTTGTTGAGGGCAAAGAATGTGTGCTAATTCATCCTTAATTCCGAATTCTGACACAGTGTCTATCCCAGAGTCAGTATTAAGTCTTGTTTACTGGAAAAATAAATGGTAAATAACAACTGAAACTGAGTGAAATGATTGACACTGAACGAAAATGCTAAAGGGTTTACATTTCATCTTGCAATCAATGGGAAGTCAATGACAGTTTTGGAACAAGGGAAGAGATAATGATAAAGGTGTTGTAAAAAATTAATATGGTGGTAGCATAAAGAATGGAATGGAGAGAAAGAAATCAATGGCAGGAAATCCATTTCGGAGAGTAATGTAGTAAAGTAAGCAGTTCAAATGAAATATAAATATGGGTCCAAATGGTGGTGGCAATAAGAACAAATCTTGGATGCATATCAAAAGGAAAAGGTAATAGATTATGACTATTTAATTATAGGGGAGGATGAAAATGCAAGATATAAGGATGACACTCCAAATTCTCAAGCCTAAGAGAACAGAATAGTGGTGACAATAAGAGATAAAGCAAAATAGCTTAAACCAGCGATTTTCAACCAGTGTGTCGCAAGAATTTTAAAAATATGCTATACCTGCCCTAGCTGGTATTGGCTCAGTGAATAGAGCGTCAGCCTGCGCACTGAAGGGTCTCGTGTTCGATTCTCGTCAAGGGCACACGCCTGGGTTGTGCGTTGAATCCCCAGTAGGGGGCATGCAGGAGGCAGCCAATTAATGATTCTCTCTCATCATTGATGTTTCTATCTCTCTCTCCCCCAAATCAATTATAATAAATAAATAAAATAAAACATGCTACAAATGATTAATCAGAAATACTGACCTCTTTCCCTTAGATCAGTGGTTCTCAACCTTCCTAATGCCGCAACCCTTTAACACAGTTCCTCATGTTGTGGTAACTCCAAACCATAAAATTATTTTCGTTGCTACTTCATAACTGTAATTTTGCTAGTTATGAATCATAATGTAAATATCTGATATGCAGGATGTATTTCATTGTTACAAATTGAACATAATTAAAGCATAGTGATTAATCACAAAAACAGTATGTGATTATATATGTGTTTTCCGATGGTCTTAGGCGACCCCTGTGAAAGGGTGGTTCGACCCCCAAAGGAGTCGCGACTCACAGGTTGAGAACCACTGCCTTAGACTGTCAAACGAAAAAGATGACAACAGCAACACAATAGCCATCTGGTATGAATGAATCAAAATTATACCTATATTTTTGTCAGATCAGCAAAAAAATGTATTTTTTTTGGCGTGCCATAGATTTTTAGTAATTAGCTTATGAGTATCATGAGGTGGAAAAGATTGAAAATCGCTGGTCTAAAGAATGTTTGTTTTGAAAGTAAAGATGAAGGTTACAATTTTGAGTTTCTGAGAACAGACATAACCTAGAAATAAGATTTGTTTTCTTATTTCATTATCTGTTTATTCCCATATTCCCTTCTCCTACATCTTTTTTCCTTTGTATTCAAATCTAACTAGATCGAGGAAAACCTTATTGAGAAAATTAGTATTGGGAAAAGGTCACTTAAAATGAATCCAATAAAAATACAGAAAAAAATTCACAGTAAAAAGTGAGAAGAAAGTCTGATTTGGGAATTTTTCTTTAAAAATAAAATTAAAATTTATAATAAGGTTTATTTCTTTTACATTAAGTTATAATTTCAAAAATATGCTAATTCTTAGAATAAATACAGAAAGAATAAAGTTTTTATTGGTCATAATATCAAACTTATATGATAGCACAAGTTGAAATTCTTAATTTCAAGTTCATCTTTTACACCACAATAATAGTCATTTTAATAAAACTTTTAGCCTGGTCAGTGTGGGTCAGTGGTTGAGTGTTGACCTATGAACCAGGAGGTCTCAGTTAGATTCCCCATCAGGACACATGCCCGGATTTCAGCCTCAATCACCAGTAGGGGGTGTGCAGGAGGCAGCCGATAGATGATTCTTTCATCACTGATGTTTCTATCTCTCTCTCCTCCTTTCCTCTCTGAAATCAATAAAAAATATATTTAAAAATAATTTTAGGGGACTCTACCCTTCAAAGGCCTCTTTCTTTTTTTAATTTAAATTCTTTATTGTTTAAAGTATTACACAAGTCTCCTTTTCCCCCCATTGACCTCTCCCAGGCTGCTACCAGCCCCCAGCACATACCCTCACCCCCCTACTGTCTTGTGTTCATTGGTTATGCTCATATGCATGCATACAAGTCCTTTGGTTGATCTTTTACCCACCCCTACCCCCATCATCTTCTATCCCCTCACCCTACAAGGGCCTCTTTCAATCCTTTGATATTTAATATGTGTATTTTTTATTGATTTCAGAGAGAAAGAAGAGGGAAAGATAGAAACGTCAATGATGAGAGAGAATCACTGATCAGCTGCCTCCTGCACGCCCCCTACTGGGGATTGAGCCTGAACCCAAGCATGTGCCTTGACTAGAATCGAACCTGGAACCCTTCAAGTCCACAGGCCGACGCTCTAGCCACTGAGCCAAACCAGATAGGGCAATCCTTTGATATTGAAATAATTTTCATTTGAAGAGCCTATTATATTGTCATCCTTATGAATTTTGTGTTTTCTGTTATTACCCAGACTGACTTAATTCTATGTATTTGTCAATAGCTTTATATGATTTGAGTAGTTCTCCAGTCACTTTTTACAGTGTTCATAAAATCCTTAAAATCTTTTTTTTTGTGTGTGCCAGATTTGAAATAAGTTTGCATTATGTTTTCATTGAAATGTTGGATATTAATGTAAAGGGGTTGGGACGCAGGCTGATATTAAATGACAAGGGATGTTTGAGTGGAAACTAATATGTTTTCCTGTTAAGACAATTTTTGCTTCTCTATTCCACCTTGTAATTATGAGGACTCACATAAGGAATGCCTGTATAAAGAGAACAACCTGACTTCTAACACATATAACCACCTCATTAACTCCAGGACCCTGCTTACACAGTTTCAATTTCCTTTTTAAATATATATAATTACTTTCCAAAGCAAAAAACAAAACAAAACACCTTGTGGATTTTGTTTTGTTATTGATTACAGACAGAGATTAAGGATAATCTATCCTCTTTATTCTAAAGCACAAGTTCTGAAGAACATAATATCTAATTCCAAGATTATTCCAAGGGTCCCAGCCCAACACAGCTCAGACGGCAAGGGCACTTTTATCCTCTTCTGTGTAACTCAGTTATTGGGATGACCAATTAAATGAACCAGTCCTGTTGGACTGATCCTGTGTGCTTCATCTTTTTTCTCTCCTCTTCCTCTCTTTGTCTATATCAGGGACTGGCAAAATATAATGAACTGGCCACCTATTCTTATAAATAAAATTTTAGTGGAATACAGCCACACCTATTTGTTTATAATGCATTGTCTATGGCTGCTTTCACACTACAATGGCAGAGTTCAATAGCTGTCATTAAAAATCACATGGCCCACAGCCTAAAATATTTACTATCTGGCCCTTTAAGGAAAAGTTTGTTGACCTCCTGATCTATATTATAGGGAATTCCCTCTGCCTTATTTCCTAATTCTTTTACTGAAACAAATATTTTTTGATGATTTATTATGTATTTAGTTCTAAGATAGGTGCCAAAGGAGCTATATTAGGAATGGTTTCTGCTATCCAGAAGTTAAGGTCTAATTGAAGAATTGACACTAATGTACATAATTAAATTACAGTGTGCAAGATAAACTAGGAAAGTAAAAATGTCAAGAGTGACCAGCCAGAAGGTGGTCAAAATAACTGAAGAGGTGAGGTTACAATATATGATGATGAAACCAGAGAAGATGCATTTTAAACAATGAATGATTAAAACTTAATGACAAACTTTACATTAAAAAAATATACCCAAATCAAGATGTGTATAGAAACAGAATACAATGGTATACTCAATAAAGTAAAAAAGATAAGGTAGCTTTACATGTAAAATACATAAACCAATGATTAGTCCTTAGGGTTATTTAACACAAAGTTATAGAAATTTAGGTAAAGATTTCAAATTGATTTAATGAAAAAACCTACAACTGTATTCTTATTTTTTCTTTATCATAAAATGGCCAAGTGGATTATCTGTTAAATAAATGAAAATAGGACTGGTGGTGTCTTAAGGGGGAAAAAATCAGAATAAGCCTGTAACTTGGTACCAGTTAAGCATTTAATGCCATCAGAGAAGATGGCAAGGCTTTTCTGATCTATATTTCATAAAAGTCTATCACTTATAACTGTGATTAATGAAAGATGATACTTATTTCTGATTTATATTAGAACTGTAGCAGAAAAATAAACACACTTGAATTTTTTAGTTCTAACAATGCTGGATACTTACATCAATATTGACAGGTTCTATTGTGTTTATATGCACATTTGGAGCCGATGAGGACCGATCTCGTTGTCCAAACTGATTTCGATGATCTTCATCTGCTGGTCGGAAAGGCTGTGGAATTGGAATGGATTTTGAAGGAGACGGACTGGTGAGCATTTGGGGCCTGAAAAATCAAGTCATTTGAAGATAAGATTCAGAGCAACTTTATAGAGATAATAACATTAAAAAATGGATAATATAAAGATTTCCTTGTTTTCATATTCTCAAATAAAATTGTTAAAATAAAGCATTAATAACCCAGCAGAAATGGGTTTTAAAAGTATTAGTTTAAAAAACTAATATGCCTTCAACTATTACCTGCAGGGACTATCAATGATAACATTGATTCTTAGCTAGAAAACTCCAGGGAAACCTACAAATGGCTAGAAATGACCTATGGTTAATCAGCTGAAGAAACTCGTCTTTTAAAGTTACACAAGAATGCTCTAGGTCAGGGGCGGGGAACGTCTGGCCCTGCCAAGACGTTAATTAAATGCTTGACCAAATATAGCAGGTTAATTTTTAGGTTGATAATTTTGTATGGCCCGGGAATGATGTTATAAATATCCAAATGGCCCCTGGCAGAAAAAAGGTTCCCCACCCCTGCTCTAGGTAGAGACTGAGCAATCAAAATCTGCCTTTTTTTTTTTTACCTTTTCCATTCCTTGATAGTTGAAGTTACTAAAATGACATTTTTATGGAAAGTATTAGGCAATTATAAGTATTTTGAGAATATGCATGTGTATTTCAGGACCTGAAAGATATACCTGTTACTCTATCCAAGAGGTGAATAAAAATCCTGAACAACAGTAAATGATCATTTCCAAACTCAAAAGCTGATCCTGATCCTTATAGTATCAGTCTCCTATGTTTTGGAATATTTACTAGTACTATGCCCAAGAACTGACACAAGAGACATGTAAGAATCATATACATTATGCACTAAAGCAAATATTTGTAAAAATATCTTTTTGATGAAGCCATGAAAATAGGTTACAGAGAGGTCTATATTTTGTTACTGCAGATAAAAAAGTCTCTCTCATCACTGTCCCCAAAGTAAATCACAGAGCACACTAAAGATTTGTCAGACTGTAAATAGCTGTGAGGAGTCTATGCCCCTCAGAAAGATATCCAAGGGAGCTGGGAAATGAGGATCGGTTGAAAAATAAGATGAGCTCCATCAGGACCAATGAATGACTCAGTGCTAACAGCCTCTCTTCAGATTGGTTATCATTCTACCTCATCTTATGCAAACTCTAATTAATCAGTATTATTTAGTGGTTAAGACATAGCCAGAAAGACAATGTTGTGAAGATAAAAAGATATTTTGTGAGGGGAGAGGGTTTAAAGAGGAACAGGAAGAAAAGACGTACAGTAGAAAAGAAATAAAGGTTTGAAGAAGCAAAGAAGCCAAACAGTGACAAAAACCTTAAGAACAGAGCATGTTAACAGAATCTAAATCATACCAGTTTATAGTTTACTTCTCTGAAGCACATTATTAAGGGTACGGAAAGAAATATGCACTTTGTCTATTCATATTAACTAAATGAATCCAAATAATAATAAAATGCTAGGTAGTTTAAAAAAATTGGTATTAGCCTAATGAAAATTATAGGTAAAGACTGATAAAATTGGCATTTAGGAAAATTAGCATGCTCCACTGGCCTCTTTATTCTGTTAAGAAATTTTTAGTTTGTGACAGAGCTGTCTTTACTTTTGCTTTAGGCAGCCAAATGTATACCCTATGCTAAAAGATTTTGGGAGCAGGTAAAAGAATGTAAAAATGACAATATTAGTTATTTTTTTAAGTTTGGGAAAGTGCAGATTTTTATAAAGCTATTTTATATAGGCTAATTTGAAATCTCAAGGCAATAGCATACTTTAAGTTAGGACTTGAAGACAGAAAAAGCCCGAATTAACTACAAGATAGTCTAATTAATATAACTGATTTGATGACACCAATAAGTGACAGCAACTCATTCTTGAAACTTAGTGAATTAAGACAGCAATATGTAGCATACATAAAATTAGAAATATGTATGCAAAGGACATTAGTCCAGAAGTAAGAAAAACAAACCCTGGATTTAATCTGATAAGTTTTACTATGATATCTAAAGAAAAAATGGATATACTAGACAAAAAGGATATCTACTTATTACATAAAGCCAGGAAGAATATAATTTTCCAGCTGGTATTTAACACCACCCAGGGAATGATATGCGCTGTTCCACAAAGTTAATTTATCAAGCCTTGAAGGCAAGTATATTATAATTTAGAAGAACACTTCAAGTTATTATATCTTGATATCATGAACATCTGAACCTTGTCCTAATTCCAACCTTAACAAAAACAATCTTTTGATTATAATTTGGTTTCACATAAATATCTTTCAAAGTGTTTTCTGATTCTGGTTAATGTAAACCAGTATATCCCTCTCTCTCATCATTTCTGGGAATTGATAAAATTGAATTTCCATGCTAGCAATTCTTTACTAAAACCAAGGCAATTTATACCATGTAAAGTATGTTGGCAGTCAGCAAACTGGCTTTCACTTCATGATATGTCTACCTCTTTAAAGTAGTACCAAATAAAAAATAAAATTTTTTTTACCTTTAACACCCTTCAGTAAATTACCAGTTAGTTTAGGTCTCATTTTTAATCTTGAATATTAAAAATTCTGAGGCAAAGTGACTACCTCTGTTCAGCGATATGCAACTTTTAAAATGCTGCCTTTTCAATAATGTATACATTCCAAAGAAATTTTTAAAAGTAGAAAAGTGGGTGCCTCTAATTTCTTATCCAAACTGGGCAATGTATCACTTCTCCAATATGTCTTGGTTACATCTACTTTTATATGTGTTTCATGACCATCATGATTGTTACCAGACTATTAACAAAATGCAAAGAAATTCTGATATAGAACAGAATTGGCATCTGCCTTTTCAGACTATCCCTATACACTTGTAACAGAAAAGCATCAGGAAAACAAAAGTTTAAACATCTTCCCCATAATTTTCTCAAGACCAGAATCTACTTCAGATTACTATGAATGAAGTACCTATGGCATAGGCAAATGGTTTCTTAATTTAAAACTAGCATTCCCATCACTGGTAAGCAAATGTACTCATCATTACCATTAATAACTTTCAGAGAGGCCAAACTAATTTCATTATGATATTCTGTAACTCTGCTCACAGAACTGGGACTTGACATTAGAAAGGCATCACAGTCTATAGAATCTGTCAGGAGCAAATGTCACAGTTAAAGGATTAATTAAAAATCAAAACAATAATATTTTGGTTTGCTCTCCTAAAAATATACAGCTGCATACAAATGATAGAAACAGCAGGTGTAAGATGACTCCACCAAAGGGGGTAACTGTTACAACCTGTCAAAAGAACATAGTGGTTGCATCTTCTATGTTGTCCAAAATAAGTAAATACACCCACTCCTTAAAGAAGTTTTTTTGCTAAAATTTCTAGCCTATTACATCTCCAGAAAGGTTGGCTTCATAAAAATTATAGGCCTATTTTGAGTGTCAACTTATTATTATTATTATTTTTTAAATATCTCTGGGGCCCTGGCTGGTTTGGCTCAGTGGATGGAGCGTCGGCCTGGGGACTGAAGGGTCCCAGGTTCGATTCCGGTCAAGGGCATGTACCTTGGTTGCGGGCACATCCCCAGTGGGGGGTGTGCAGGAGGCAGCTGATTGATGCTTCTCTCTCATCAATGTTTCTAACTCTCTATCCCTCTCCCTTCCTCTCTGTAAAAAATCAATAAAATATATTTAAAAAAAAATCTCTGGGTAGAAGAAATGGCATTACATTGTGAAAAGTGAGAAGAAGTAGAGTTAAAACTGACAATAAATATTTCTGATCTTAATTAATTATCTCTAGAATAGTCTAGAACAGAATGCTGTGTGCAGACTTATTTTTAACTGTATGCTTCCAGATATAGTATAATTTATACTTCCTCAAATCCCATAGGGAAAGAGTAAACAGACCTGTGTAAGAAATGCTTCAAAGCAAACCGGCATCTTCTAAACTCATCATCATCTCTTTTTTTTCCTACTACGAAACTTGAATATGTGGATGACTATGTACGTCTTTATCATCCACAACTAATTAATACTATTAATTTTTTCTTTTACATATTATGAATATTCATTCCTTCTGTATGCTGCTACTACTTCAGTTCAAGTCTTCATTGCTTCTCACTGTTTTCACAACCAGCATCCTAGTTGGCCTTCTTTACAATAGACATTTCTCTATCAATCTATCTGTATATCACTGTTAAGTGATTCTTTCTTTAAAACCATTTTCATCATGTTAGTCCTCTGCTCAAAACACTTTAGTTCTTTTTTTCCTTCTTATGTGTAGTGTAAATTCAAGACTCTCTAATCTAGTTTTACACATACTTCTTCTCCACTTAGATTAGGCTCTCTTCACTATCTCCTAAACATGCCATTGCTATTCCCTTTATTTATGCTATTTCTAACTGCCCCCCGCTTCCTGCCTCCCAATCACCAGGCTTTTATTCCCCAGGCTAATTCAGACTTTTAGAATTCTTCAAGGTCCAATTTAAATCCCACTTTCTTCATTACATTATCTTGACTACTCTCTCTCACTATCCTTTTCTCCTGTAAACATGGTAATATTTGACCTTATCACATAGTTTTAAATACTGTGTCATAAACTATAGATTTTAATTATATATTATTTTTATTGTTTGCCACTGTCTCTTATGTTAATGCTAGAATTCTAAATGGAAGTCTTGTACTTTTATATCTGATATTACCCAATAAAGTGATGAGCACAAGGCAGGGACTCTAAATCCCATGTATCTACACCAAATGCATATTAAATACCTAACTGGTGTAATAAAATAAGTTTATTACAATCCAGATGTTGAAAAAGTTTATAGTAAACCAAAGATCCAAAAGAAACCAGCTCAAATAGCATGCCACTGAACAGCAGGAGTCAAATCATACCCAAAAGAATCAGAGGAGTATGTGGAAGGGGATGATCCAGATGTAAGGGTAGTCTCTGCAAAGGAGGCCTCCTCCTGTGGTATTGGGTGGTGTTCAAAAAACTTGGAGACAAACAGCAAACTGTGAGGCAAAAACAAAAACAAAACAAAACAAACCTAACTTGTGCAAAACCCAGAAGCTTCATATAACAGAATACATTATAGAGTTAACAGAAATATCGGAGATCAAATTCCATTTTTAGAAATGGTTGTTAAATTAAATTAGTTGTGCTTTTGGCTTATTTTTAAAAATTAAATTGCATTTTCAAAGGCAAGCTCAGAATCTAAAACTAATTGTTTTATATAGCAAATTTCTACATATCAGAAGGGAAAAATCATGCTTAATGTTAAGGAATTAGAAGAAAATGTAACTATTGCAAAGTCAGATTACATCATTATAATATACTTTAAAATACAGAGTTGAATTCTATTTGCTCAAGTGATCATGAAAAGTAGTAACACATTAACAGTAGCAGCAACTACAACACACAAAAAGATTAAAAGAGACTTAGTCTAATTTGTTAGAGAAACTCTAGCATAAAAAGCAAATAAAAATTTTAGAAAAAGATACACTAGGTACAAAGATTTTACATCTCACTTTTAAATAAATTGGGGGTGCAGGTGGGGTTAAAGGAGGTAGAGATATAGAGATAGGAAGAGAGAGAGAGAAACAGAATTTACAAAATAGCTGACAGAATCAGATTCTTTGATCTGTGGTCCAAAAATATAATGGTTAACTTAATTGAAACAACAACTGCTCTCCTCCCCAAAACTATCTATAAGTGATTTCTATGAGTAAGGGATCTTTATTAATTGAAAGAGAATATAAAACATAAATGAAATGTGTAGCTGAATCAGAAGTACAATTTTGGAGTAAAATACAGGCTATACTACATACTACTCTCCAGATACACTTTAAAAAAATTCCCTGTAACAACTCTACTGGACAAAAAATTCCCACAGACTCTAAGACATACTAGTTTCACATTCAGAAAAGTTAAATGTAAAATGGTAGATAGAAATCTTTTTTGATTACTTACTCAAGTTGGTCATAATTAACACACATCAGTGGAACCTCTGTACTACAACGCTGGTGAAATTTATAACCACATGTTTGACAGCGGAAACCCTGGAAAAGCAGCTTTCGACAAAAGTCACAAAATGCTAAGGTGAAAAAAGTTTTCCGTACCTGCAGAGTAAAACATCATAAAGGATTTCAAAACTTGCAAGCATCTTTTTAGGAATCAACTTATTTACTCTCTTGTTTAAAATAGTAAATAAACCTTTTACATATTTATAGTATGAGAACTGCCTTACACACTAATATACTCAAATGAAAACCAGTGGCTTCAACATAGTAGATAGACTAATATGTATTATCTCCCACCCAATATCCAATTAAAAAAATCAGAAGTCTTGATGGGAAATGAATAAAAAATTCAAAACTAATTTCAATCTTGACTACATAAAAATAAAAGTAGAGATCAGATAAGAAGAGGGACTAGAACTTAAAGATAAGGGTACAATTTAATATTTGTACAAAGAAAGAAGTTACAAGATGCTCACTAGTGTTACTATTTAAAACCACAAAGGTATCCAACAGAGGAGCCACAACCCCCCCCCCCCAAAAAAACCGCAATGGGAGGAGGGAAAATGTAAAAACATTTATAATTATAAAAGACAAAGCTATTTGTAATTTTATGAAAATCAAAACAACCCTGCCTAAACTTACTAACTAGGATAAGAAACAGGAAAATCACCTAAAAGACAGTAAGAACAACTTAACAAGTCATCATTTTGTTAGAGGATTAGAACACCTAAATGCATTTGTGAACACTCCTCTGTGAAACTTAAAAGACAACATGTAAAAACTCCACATCAGAGGCAAATGCTCTCCAACAACGATTTTCAACGTTTTTCATCTCATGGCACACATAAACTAATTACTAAAATTCTGCGGCACAACAAAATATATATTTTTGCCATTTTGACAAAAAATGGGTATAATTCTGATTAATTCACACTGGATTGCTATTGTTGTGTTGGCTGTTGTCATTTTTTTTATTTGATAATCTAAGGGAAAAGAGGTCAGTGCCTCTGACTAAACAGTCAGGTATTGCATGTTTCAAAAGTTTTTGCAGCCCACGAGTGTGCCTCTTGTGGCACACCAACACCAGCACACCTCCTGTGGCGCCTCTGAATGAAAATAGATCATCTATCACACCTGGGTCACATAAACAGAACTATGCTAGGGAGGCTCTCTCTTTTTTGGTTGTTTTAGGGATGCTCTACCTTGATAACTACCAAAGCTAGAAACTGCTTGAAAAGTATTAATTTGTGTAAATAATAAGCAGAAAACATAAGAAGGTTAAACAAATACCAAAATGTTAACAATGTCTATTTCAAAGTGGTGAGAGCATGGGTGACTTCTATTTTGTCCTGTTTTTTGCTGCATATTCTCAATTCATCTTAGTTTTTCAGACAGTTTTAATCAAAAACTAAAGTAAAAAATATATTTTGCACTATGACCCAGGACACATCTGTATTCATATAACAATACTTACCCTAACTACATACATATACATTAGAGTTTTCTAATCTATTACATGTAAATGCTTTCCATGAATCATTAAATTGAACATAATACCCACAGTTTACCAAACTCTTCTCAATAAACATATTTAACAGGATTAAAAGCTATTTTAAAATGTTTCATCAAACAATGGCATCTTAAAAAAGAAAAGGCATCTTGGCATATCATCCATTCTGGCTTGTGAGAACATTTAGGTAGTTTTATAAATGACTTTTGTTTTCTTCATCTTCTTTTCTATTATCACTTTCTAGGGGATTTAAAAAGGCAACTGCTTGTTTTTAGCTTTGTTCCTTTTCTATTTGTTTCTGGATATACAAGAAATTAGAAGATCTTTAACATTTATGTGACCACTATTTGCCAAAGTCAAGAGAATCTTTTATGCTGCTAGCATAATTTCAGGAGATAGAGCACAGAAAAATACAAAACTTTCACATAGGAATAAGCATTTTATAGTCATCTGATCTTCTTTGCTACCATTCAGATCTTCACTCTCCTGATAATCTGTATCATGAAACCCTAATTTCTCTTCCTGCATTAATTTACTCAATTGTAACCTTTCTTACTATCACTGACTTACACTTGAAAATTATGTGTAACTGGTTGTGTGTATATGTAAAGGAGGAGAGAGAGAGAGAGAGAGAGAGAGAGAGAGAGAGAAGGGGGGAGGGGGGGGGGGCGCAGAGAACAGAGAAAAATATCTGAGAGGAGAAAACATGGGTATGCACTTTAGTATAAATTGCAAGTGATATATTCAGGATGGAGCAAAAGTAGGCTTATAGTTGTGAGTACACAAAAAGTTGTATTATTTTCCATATGAAAAACTATAAACCTACTTTTGCCCACCCTGTACTTGTATTTTTAAGTATATGTTTGTCAATAAAGGTGAACACAGAAAGGTGTTTCTTTTCTTTTGGGTCACAATTTAGGCTTATTCTGAATTTGAGCATATTAAGACATGGATGGTAAATTAATGGGAGGCATAGACCAGGCAATCTGCATGCATTAATTTGTAAGGTGTGGGACTGTCTGAAGGAAGACATTAACCTGAGTGCCTACAGAAAAATGGGAAGGGCTAGACAAATGACATCTGTTTCAAATCTTGTTTCCCTACCTTCCCTGCCATCCTTCACTCCACCAGTTCTAAAGGATTCTAGGGATATAGGCAAATACTGAAGGAATTGCTTTTATAACAGACACTATGAAACCATAAGGCAGCAGCAGCATTCCTTGAATAGCCAGCAAAATCCAACAGAGATGCAAAGAGAGTACAGGCTTTTACTCTTGCCTCTATTTGGAACTCGGGAGGCAACCAATCGATGTGTCTCTCTCACATCAATGTTTCTCTCTGTGTGTCTCTCCCTTTCCCTTCCACTCAGGGGAGTAGTATGATTATATATGAGTTTAGAATAATTGCTAAAACACATATCTAATTATTCTAAAACACATATCTAGTCACATTTCTCCCCTGCTTACAATCACTAAATTTCCAATGACTTTACAGAGAAGTCCAAGTCTTTAACATGGTTTACAAGGACTCTCATGAACTTGACTGCTTACTCTAGCCATAACTCTTGTTATTCTTAACATCCCCCTCCTCTAACTTTGTAACATCCATTCTGAACATTATTATTGTTGTTATTCTTACTCTTATTCTTATTACTGTCAATCCTCACCTGAGGATATTTTTCCATTGATTTTTAGAGAAAATGGAAGGGAGAGGGAGAGACACACAGAGAGAAACATTGATGTGAGTGAGACACATGGATTGGTTGCCTACTGCATGCACCCTGACCAGGGCTGGGGATCGAGCCTGCAACCAAGGTATGTGTCCTTGACCGGAATTGAACCTTGGACGCTTCAGTCCATGGACCAATGCTCTAGCCACTAAGTCAAACTGGTTAGGGCTGAACATTTTTTTAAAACTGGAAAGGTAACATGTTTTCTTACTTACTTTTCCCTTCACTCTTCTCTGCTATTCCCTCATCCATTAGACCTTAGCTTAGATATTCTTCATTTGGGAAACCTTCTGACCCCTCAAAGGCAGGTTAGGAGACTCCACTCTGTATATCTATAGCACTTTACACATACAGTTATTACAAATGTTTATAAAATTTTCTTATTAAATCAGCTATCTCTCTACTCAAAGGCCGGGATACTTTTTTCCTTATTCATTGTTATATTATCATATTAGACACAGTGTTGGCAACTGGGAGGTTTTCAATAAACATTTACTGGAAGGTCTCCAATAGTGCTGAAAGGATTTCCATACTCTGGAACTAACCTGCAGTTTGCTTTAATTATATTCCTATATCAAGGACCTTCCTGAGGCACTATTTTAGTACAATTTTCCGATTAGCAACTTAGGTCTTCTTTTACCTCCCCATATCTGATTCTTAGCTAAGCATAATAATTAAGAAAAAGAATAGTAATCACTATGAAATGTAAGCTCAATTGTTTTTTTATTCCTAAAATCTTACCACTCAAAATTCTACACTGAGTTAAAACTCAATAGTAATGAACTTCCTAGTTCATCATTATAAAACTATTTGCATAGTAAATCTGATTGATGTTAAGTGTATTTTACACTTGTTAAGAAGATGCCTTGATTACTGAAATACCTGATTTCATTATTCACCACTAATAGAGCCCTGAATACACAAACCCCCATGGAAATCATCTCATCAATTGTCTGCTTTAAGAGCCCAGCTGTACTAATCACCAAGGCACATGGAAAAACACTTGATGCCGAAATGGTAGCAATAACTATCCATCTAGAAAAAAATAAACTATGGTTAAAATTTCAGATATATAGATAAGAAATTTACTCCTGTCTTGCAGATCACTCTAATCCTGGCTTTTGCCTATCCTTTTAGAGGACAGGTTCTCAAGCTCTGGGAACTGTGTCCTCATCTATAAGGTAGAGAGGTTTCACTTTTCAGGCTTTATGCTAGTGACACTTAGCTTAGGCTAGGTTCTAGCAAGTGCAAACACCAAAGGGAGAAGTCATCAAAGAGTTTTAATGTCTTCTTTCAGTCCTCAAGGAGAGCTGTGCCATTTCCATTAACTTATACTTTAGAAAATTTTATGCAAGTATGTCAAGATGTATGCAGAAAGATTCTGTTTGGGCCTGTACATAACAGATTTTTAAAACAACATCTAAATGTCTATTATTAGAGGGATGGTTAATTATACAGAATTTATACTATTCTTACAGATTATGCAATCATTATAAAAATAAAACTAGGTATACTGCCCTAACCGGTTTGGCTCAGTGGATAGAGCGTCGGCTTGCGAACTGAAAGGTCCCAGGTTCGATTCCAGTCAAGGGCATGTACCTTGGTTGCAGGCACATCCCCAGTAGAGGGTGTGCAGGAGGCAGCTGATCAATGTTTCTAACTCTCTATCCCTCTCTCTTCCTCTCTGTAAAAAATCAATACATTAAAAAAAAAGATTGCTGGAGAACCAAGATGGCGGCATAGGTTAACGCCGGAGTTTGCTGCCTCGAACAACCACTTCAAAAATACAACTAAAAGATGGAACGGACACCATCCAGAACCACAGGAAGGCTGGCTGAGTGGAAGTTCTACAACTAGGAGGAAAGAGGAAACCATACCCAGACTCAGAGGAGGTGCAGTGCTGAAGTGAAATACTAAGGTTCGGAGTGCATGTGGAGCGGGCCGGTGGCGGAGGGTGCGGTTGTTATTTTCAATCTGGAGGGCGTTTCAGACTCTGAGCTCCAAATCCGGGCGAGTCTCTAGGGACCCAGACTCAAACGAGAGAAGCGGGAAGGCAGCTTTCTCTCCGAGGTTTGCAGCGGTTGCAGAGCCGCTGGGGACAGAACTGAGAGCAGCCATAACTGCTCGCTCCGCCCACCCTGTTGATCCCCGGGGACCCGCCCCGCCCAAGCCCTGCACAGAGGCATTTGCCAGATAGCCTCAGGCAAAGGCTAGATTAGCACCTCCCTAGAGGACACAAGTTCTTCCACTGCAGACACAGCTGATTAACACAGCCAGTCGGCCTGGAGGTCAAATCCCTCTAGTATTAACTACAACAATCAAGGCTTAACTACAACAAGACTGCGCACAAAGACCACTAGGGGGTGTACCAAGAAAGCGTAAAAAATGCGGAGACAAAGAAACAGGACAAAACTATCAAGGGAGGATATTGAGTTCAGAACCACACTTTTGAGGTCTCTCAAGAGGCTTCTAGAGTCTGTCGATAAACTTGATGAGATGTACAGGAAATCTAATGAGACCCTCGATGGTGTGATAAAGGACCATCTAGAAAGTAAGCATACACTGACTGAAATAAAGAATATTATACAGACTCCCAACAGCAGACCAGAGGAGCGCAAGAATCAAGTCAAAGATTCGAAATGCGAAGAAGCGAGAAACACCCAACCGGAAAAGCAAAATGAAAAAAGAACCCAAAAATACGAAGATAGTGTAAGGAGCCTCTGGGACAGCTTCAAACGTACCAACATCAGAATTATAGGGGTACCAGAAGATGAGAGAGAGCAAGATATTGAAAACCTATTTGAAGAAATAATGACAGAAAACTTCCCCCACCTGGTGAAAGAAATAGACTTACAAGTCCAGGAAGCGCAGAGAACCCCAAACAAAAGGAATCCAAAGAGGACCACACCAAGACACATCATAATTAAAATGCCAAGAGCAAAAGACAAAGAGAGAATCTTAAAAGCAGCAAGAGAAAGAAACTCAGTTACCTACAAGGGAATACCCATACGACTGTCAGCTGATTTCTCAACAGAAACTTTGCAGGCCAGAAGGGAGTGGCAAGAAATATTCAAAGTGATGAATAGCAAGAACCTACAACCAAGATTACTTTATCCAGCAAAGCTATCATTCAGAATTGAAGGTCAGATAAAGAGCTTCACAGATAAGGAAAAGCTAAAGGAGTTCATCACCACCAAACCAGTATTATATGAAATGCTGAAAGGTATCCTTTAAGAAGAGGAAGAAGAAGAAAAAGGTAAAGATACAAATTATGAACAACAAATATGCATCTATCAACAAGTGAATCTAAGAATCAAGTGAATAAATAACCTGATGTACAGAATGAACTGGTGATTATAATAGAATCAGGGACATAGAAAGGGAACGGACTAACTATTCTTGGGGGGAAAAGGGGTGTGGGAGATGCGGGAAGAGACTGGACAAAAATCGTGCACCTATGGATGAGGACAGTGGGTGGGGAGTGAGGGCAGAGGGTGGGGTGGGAGCTGGAAGGAGGGGAGTTATAGGGGGGAAAAAAGAGGAACAAATGTAATAATCTGAATAATAAAGATTTAATTAAAAAAAAAGATTGCTTAAAAAAAAACTAGGTATACTGACATAAAAAGATGTCTATGAAGCAAAGAACAAGACTCCATTTTTAGTTTAAGAAAAGGAAAGAAATGGGAAATAATGAAGATAAAAGAGGGGAAAAGAGAAAATGAAAGGAGAAAAACCTTATGGTCATAGGTATAAGCATAAATGTTTATAAATATATATAGAAAGAATTTGGAAGACTATACAACAGTCGATTAATACTAGTTTACCTCTAGTCTGGTATTTTCACTTTTTTACTTGCTATACATTTTGTACCTTTTAAATTTTCTTTTAATAATGAGCATGTATTGCTTTTTTTAAATTCAAAAGAAAGTATAATGACTCAAGTAAAACTCTTTAGTTTAAATTCAAGTTTTTTAAAGAACTGATTTTTAACTGAGGTAAACTATCAATCCCCAAATTATTCATTCATATTTCATATTTCCTAAATAAAAATTCATTCACAGAACATAAATATTTTAAAATATATATTTATTTGATTTCAGAGAGGAAGGGAGAGGTAGAAACATCAATGATGAGAGAATCATTGATTGGCTGCCTCCTGCACAACCCCTACTGGGGATTGAGCCCGCAACACGGGCATGTGCCCTTGGCCTGAATCGAACCCGGGACCCTTCAGTCCGCAGGCCAACGCTCTATCCACTGAGACAAACCAGTTAGGGCAACATAAACATTTTTGACATTTCAAAAAAAATATAAAGGTACATACAAAGTTGTGTGTTGTAAGTGGAACATTTTCCAATACTTCGACATGCAATTCCTCTCCAGTAAGCCAGGAAATATCAGTGTCCCATCCAATTGGTTTCTTCTCTCTGAAAAGTGTAGACACAAGCCTTCCTTGGTAATCATACCTAAAAACCTTCATATACCTCATGCTGAAGATACAGAAATTGATTAGTAAGTGGTCAATAATGGTGAGGGAGTTTTGGCTCCCTGGTCTTCCATTGTTAGAAATTTAAATGGCAATAAATTAATTTTTAAGTTTACACTAAATAAATGTATCACTCTTGGACAAACAGCAAGGTAAAGAGATGTACTCTTTTCTTAAAGTCAGTTCCACAACAGCAGAAAATTATTGTTCCTGGCATTAAAAAAATAAAATAAAATAATCACAGGTATAGATATATCTATCCAAAGAAAAAGAGTACTTAAGGGACAACATGCCCCCAAAAGGATAATTTTAAAAACAGGATTCAAAATTAGGAAGGTGTGTGTATCTTGGCATAATTTTAGATGTTTTGAAAAAAAGTTCAATAAAAAATGTTAATTTGATAAGCCTTTTGTGAAACGAGTTTGTATTAAAAATAGGGGAGTGGAGCCGAGTCCACTATTCAAATGAGTCACATTCTAAATGGTTAAAAAAATTTATGAATCACATATTTCAAATAAAGCCATTTAATCAGAGTAACACACTATTGTCACACACAAAATTATCTAATGTTAATGCATCAAAAGGCCCACAAGATTTCTTTAGGCTAAACTTAATAATAATTTAATACTGTTTTCTAAAGTTGATTTTCAATTCCCCTGGTTTAGGTAAAGATCACAACAAAATTTCACATCACATACAAACCATACCCATCCTGAATTCTGTAAACAGCACAGCACTCTGGGATTAGACCTCTCATCATCAAGGCTTTCTTTAGACTGTCCCGGACTGTAACTCCACACCTTGCAGGTACCTACAGTATCATAATTGCATGATATGAGGTAAAGGAAATAAATTATGCTTTTCACATTTAAAAAAAAATAACTTACCTATATCAGATACAACATAATTTCTACAGCTTACTATTAAAGGGAAACTATGACAGATACGTATTATTATTCACCAACTTACAATGAATTTTAGTTCATTAAAATTATAAAATATTTTAAACATATAAGAGAGAATAGAAAATATAACAGATCACTATGTACCCACTACTGAGTAACTATAATGTCAACATTTAAAGCAAAATCAATTTTGATCCAACACTGTTTAAAACTAAAAACTGCAATCCTTCAATCACACTGATGGTCCTTAAGAGATGTATTATTGATCCTAAACATAGGAGAGAAAAAAATACTTGTCTTATGTGTATAACTGATATTTGTCGTTTAGTTGACTAGCACTCCTGTTTCCCTAGGGAACCTGCCCTTCCCTAAAAATTCCAGGAGAGGCTCTCAATCAAGGGTCACTACTTTTCTAGCTACACATGACTTAAGCTGGCTAATCAGTGTCCCTGTATCCCTGGCAATAGCAATTGATCCAAAAATAGATATATGACCCCAATACAATCAGAGTTCCTCCCTAACTGATAAGTGGAACCGGCTGAGAGAAGTTCCTCTTTTTACTATAGTTACAGTGTGCCAAGCAGATAGAAATCTGGAGCCCCAGTGGCCATCTTTCCCACTGCATTGAGGAAATCTGGACACAGAATGAAGCTAACCTGGGGAGAAGTAGAAAAGGCACTGGGACCCCTGGAAAGAGATAAAAGAATTTATATACTTGAGGTCATCCCTATTTTGGCTTTTTCTTCTTCAAGCCCCCTTCCCCAGTGAATCTGAATAATTTGCAACTGAAAGAGAACAGACAAACACAATGTGGACTACAGTGGTGCAGCGGAAGTTCAGGTTTTAATGGTGAGGGTGGTGAGGTGGAGGGGAGTGGAGGTACAGGGGATGTGTTAGTTAATAACAATAAAATTAAAGGTTCCATTTTTTTAAATCACGTAATTCTTAGCAAACCAAAAGTTTCTAAAGAATCTTCATGCTACAGGGGCAAAATGGAGTAAGAGTAGATATAAGACAGCTGAATTTAAATAGTATATCAAAGGGAGAACAATCCAGAAAGCCAAATTAGGACCTACAATCAGAAAAAAGTAGGATCCCAAATTTGGAATAATATAACCATTAAAACTACCCAGCAAGGGAAAAGTTTCTCATGAATGAGTAGGCTCATCACTGGAAGTATGCATGAGATTGGATTGGTACAGTTGATCCTCTTTATTCATGCATTCTGCACTTGTGATTTGTCTACCTGCTAAAATTTGTAACCCCCAAATCAATATTTGTAATGTTTTTGCGAACATGTGTAGAGCAGCAAGCTGAACATGTACCTTCCCAGCTGAGACTGGAAAAGGTGACTCTGTGCCCTCTTGTTCTAGCTCTCATACAGTAAACGGTAAACAAGTGTCCTATGCCAGTGGGCTTTTATGCTAATGGACGCCAGCAGACTGTGAAAAAAAAACCCAACCACAAACCACCTAAGGGTCACTATTCAGAGGCCATGTTTGGCTCATTTATATAACAGCAACACTGTATTTGCCCTGACTAAATGGGTCAGTATTCACTAATTCAGTGCTTGCAGCAATTTTACAGAACATAAATATTGTGAATTAGCCATACCTTCTAGAAATAATGAACTGAAGGAAAAAGCTCACTTTCCCCCTCTACTACTCATATTCTGCCTACTCTAATGCAAATACTTCTTGATTGGCAACCCTAATTTAGTTTTAAAAGAAGATATTCTTAACTCTTGTGTGTGTCAGACTTCTGAGAATTTGATGAAAGACTCCAATGCTCTCTCTGACATAAAATTTCAGGGAGGGGGATTCATGGAACCTGAAGCCCATGTAGGGATTGCTGAGGAGCCCACTGAACTCAGATTTAGACCCCCTTCCCCAAATATAATCTTACATTTCATTAGTGTGCTGACAATTGTTCCACTATTTTTAAATCAAAATTAAAATTCTGTATGGCATATAAAGCATTCAATGAACTGGGACTATCTACCCCTCAGGTCCTTTGATAATTTCCCTCATACACTTCTGTATTGCCATTTTCATATACAGCTATGCTCCCTTATGTTTCTCTTGCACAGGTTGATTTCAAGGTGTATGTATATTTCATCAGCAGGCAAAAAATTGGTTTTCCACTTTACCACCAAAACAAAGTTATCAATCACTCCTTTATTCCATTTCTGTAGGCTGATTTTTTTGTACTCCTTGCTCCTTCATGATAGCACCTGTTCAATAGACCAACAGACCACTGGAAAAGTCCAAAACAGATTCCAACACATAAAGGAAATTAGAGTAAAATAAAGGCAGCATCTGAAATAAGGTAAAGATTAACTTTTTAATAATTAATGTTGGGACAACTGGATTGAATCTAGGGGAAAAAAAGGTTCATCCATACCTCATACTGTATAATAGGGTAAACTACAAATGGAACAAAGATTTAAATGACGAAAGCAGGAAGGGGTAATCATAAAAGAACTGAAAGAAAGCAAAGCAAACTCCTTTACAACCTCAAGTGACGAAGGCCTTTAAAATTATGATGCAAAACCTGAAAACTATATTAGAAAAAATAGTAAATTCAACTACACAAAACTAAGAGCCTTTATGTTACATATGTTTTTCCACAATTAAACCCCTGTTTTGCATGTTTTCTCTTGGGTAAATAGGAGTAGAAAGGCTGAATCATATGCTACATGCATGTTTAAAAGTGGCTCCTCAGCAATCCATACATGGGCTTCAGACTCCATGAACCCTCCTCCCCAAAATTTTATGTCAGAGTGAGCAACTGAGTCTTTCATCAGATTTGGATTTGTCTTGGAAAAATATCTGCAACTCATGTAACAGGCATATGTTGTATATAGAGAGAGCTCCTGAAAAATTGAGATCAAGACCAACAACCCAATAAAAAAATGGGCAAAGGACATGAAAGACAATTCACAGAAACAGAAATATAAACAGCCTTCAAACATATGAAAAGGTGGTGTTCAACCTCACTGAAAAAAGCACTCAAACTTGTCAGGATAGTTTTCACTTATCATGTTGGCAAAAATCCAAAAGATCGATAACCTATTCCATTGATGAGGTGATCTTAAACAGGCATCTCATACATTGCTGGTAGCAGTATAAAATTAAGCTAGACCTATGAAGCAAAATTTGAAAGTATAGTTCATAACTACAAATATAAATTTCTCTCTTTGATCCAGGCAAACCTACTTTTGGTACAGTATAGTACACCACTACACTTGTCAACTACAGTTGTGTGTATCAGTAGCACATGTCTTTCTATGAATAGACCACAATTTTTTCACCATTCAACTGTTGATGGACATTTGGATTATGCCCAATTTTAGACTATTACAAATAAAGCAACCAAGGACATTTTTGTACAAATCTTTGTATTGGCATGTTTTCTTTTCTCTTGGGTAAATAGAAGTAAATGGCTGGATCATAAGCTACATGCATGTTTAACTTTTTACAAAATTGCAAAACAGTGTTTTTTTAATTATGAAAAAAATATATGTAACATAAAACCATCTTAACCACTTTTAAACATAGTTAGATGTGTTAAGTACATTCACATTATTGTGCAAACAATCTCCTGAACGCTCTTCATTCTGCAAAACTGAAATCCTATGCCCATTAAACAACTCCCCATCTCTCCTTTCCCCAGCCCCTGGTAACCATAATTCTATTTTCTGTCTCTATGAATTAGACTACTCTAGGTACTTCATATAAGTGGAATTATATAGTATTTGTCTTTTTGTGATGGGTCCATATTACTTAGCATATTATCTTGAAAGTTCATTAATGCTATAGAATACATCAGAATTTCCTAATACATTTTAAGGCTGAATAGTATATTGCATTGTATGTATACACATTTTGTTTATCCATTCATCTGTTGATGGACAATTGGGTTGATTCCACATTTTGGTTACTGTGAACAATGCTGCTATGAATATGTGTGTACAAATAATCTCTTTGAAACTACAACTGAATTTGTTTGGGTATATATCCAGAAATAGAATTGCTGGATCATATGGTAATTCTATTTTTAGCTTTTTGAGGAACCTCCATACTGTTTTTCATAGTGGTCACCATTTTACATTCCCATCAACAATGCACAAGGATTCCAATTTCTCTACATTATTGCCAACACGTGTTTTTATTTTTTGATAGTAACAATTCTAATGAGTATAAAGTGATGTCTCATTGTGGCTTTGGTTTGCATTTTCTAATGATTAGTGATGTTGAGCATATTTTCATGTTTGTTGGCTATTTGTGTAGCTTTTTTGAAAAAAATGTCTATTCAAGTCCTTTGCCCATTTTTAAAATGGGGTTGTTTGGGGTTTTTGTTTTGTTTTTGAGTTGTAGGAGTTTCTCAAAATATATTAATATTAACCCCTTGTCAAGATATATGATTAGAAAATATTTCCCCCTATTCTGTATTGACTTTTCATTCTGTTGACTGTATTCTCTGATTGACATAGGTTTTAAATTTTGATGTAGCCCAATTTCTCTATTTTTATGTTGTCTGTGACTTTGCTGTCATATCCAAGAAACTGCCAAATTCAATGTCATTATGCTTTTCCCTCAATGTTTTCTTTTAAAAGTACTAGTTTTGGCTGTTACATTTTTGATCCATTTGAAATAGCTTTGTATATTGTATAAGTTAAGGTTCCAACTTCATTCTTGCATATGTATACCCAGTTTTCCCAGCACCATTTGTGGAACTGACTGTCCTTTTCCCCACTAGGTGGTGTTGATACCCTCATAAAAGATCCTTTGACCGTATATGTGATAATTTATTTCAGGGCTCTCTATTCTATTTCATTTGGCTATCTGTCTCTCTGTCTATGCCACTATCACAATGATATGATTACTGTATCTTTGTAGAAGTT